CTGCTGGTCCGAGAGCGGTGTCCCACGAGGGTCGCGTGTATCTACTTGCGCGGAAGCTCGACGCGGTCGGGCACACGTGCCAAAACAAACAGAATGGCAAGTGCGATGACCTGCCGCTCGAGTACGACGTGGAGTGGGAAGGAGGGGAGCTCGGTCAGGGCTCTTTCGGCAAGGTCTACTTGGGCATGCGACGGGGCGACAAGACTGGCCTTGCGATCAAGATGCTGCGGGGCGACCCCAGCGATGCGCAGCAGGGTTTCAATACGGATGCCGTCGGAGGGGCTCTGGATGAGGTCACGCGCCACGGTGCTGTGGGCACGCACCCGCGTCTCGTTCGCTTACTCGACGTGGGCCTTTTCAGGAGGTTGTGCCCAGAAACTTCGACAGTCCCGAGAGCACGCCGAGAACTGTAACAGTCAGTACCAAGGATAAATTCGAAATGGACGGAGCACATCGGCCTCGTGTACGAGTTGTTCGAGATCGATGTCCGCCAATTCCTCCAGAAGTCCCCCTTCGCGCAGACAGGGCTGCGCCGCGCCCTGAACAGCGTTCTCGAAGGGCCCCAGTACATGCGCGACAGGGGCCGCATTCACTGCGACATCTAGCCCGCAAACATCCTGACGCGAGGATCGCCGCAGACGCGCGGCTGCTTCGAGAAGCAGGCACTTGTATCACGTGAGCTTGGCGAATGGGACCCCGTCGCGCCGTGCCCAAAGAGCAAGCTGCAGTTCGACTGGCAGATCCAGAGTTCCTTCGAGGCGCTCGTCGTCGACGTCGTCGTCGCCGTCGTCGTCGCCGTCGTCGTCGTCGTGCTCCTCCTCCTCGTCCTCCTCGTTCTCCTCGTTCTCGTCGTCCTCGTCGTCCTCGCCGTCCTCGTCGTCCTCGTCGTCCTCGTCGTCGTCCTCCTCGTCCTCGTCGTCGTCGTCCTCGTCGTCCTCGTCATCCTCGTCATCCTCGTCGTCCTCGTCGTCGTCCTCCTCGTCCTCGTCGTCGTCGTCCTCGTCGTCCTCGTTATCATCGTCATCCTCGTCATCCTCGTCGTCGTCGTCATCCTCGTCATCCTCGTCGTTCCTTCGACTACCAGGTCCCGAGTTGTCAGGGCTCACATGGAGCTCTAACATAGTATGTTAGAGCTCCCAGAGAGCTCTAACATAGCATGTTAGAGCTTCCAGGGAGCTCTAACATCGCATGTTAGAGCTCACTGGGAGCTCTAACATGGCACGTGATACCATGTTAGAGCCCCCTGGGAGCTCTAACCTAGGATGCCAGATCTCCCCAGGGAGGTCGACCATAGCATGTGAGAGCTCCGATGGAGCTCTAACATAGCGCGTTAGAGCTCCCATGGAGCTCTAACATAGCATGTTAGAGCTCCGACGACGCCCTCATACACGAGGTCAGAGCTCAGCTTATCTCATTAGCCGTCGTTTTAGACCTCACACCGAGTTCTAACAAGGGAGGTCCCACCCTTCTCCCGAGATGCCGTCGTCGTGCCCTCTATCCCGCCCTTCCCTCCAGGGGGGGCTCAGTCGCCGTCGCCCCCCTCTCCTCCATCCGCCCCGGCTGTGTGGAGATGGCGGATCCCCACTGCAGGTTGAAGAAGAAACTGCGCTACAGCCCGACCTGCGATGACCTCGGAGTATGCGCGCCCGCTTACAGAGCGGTAGATGTTTTCTTGGGGAACCAGCGCTACTCAGAGGACCTGGACACGTGGTCCATCGGGTGCCTGATGGCGGAGCTGTACACGCGCAAGGTGTTGTTCCAACCAGAGCCTTGCGGCGCGCTCGGGCATCCAGGGGGGCGCCCGAAAGACTTCGTGGTTTTCTCCAGGGAGGCCTTGGGGATCCCAGACAAGGAGCCAGGGTCGGGAGACTTCTACGATTACGAGGGCCAGGAACCCGCCCCGTGGCTGGACAACCTGCCTTTCTTTAAGAAGTGGTTCAAGCGGCCGGGCGAGGATTGGCTAAAGGCTGAAACAGCGAAGGCGCTCGACGGCCGAGGGCGCTGGCCCGTTGCCGAACTTGCAGACTGCCCCCCCAGACTTGTTGAAGGCCGCCGAGAGCTGCCTGCTTTGGCACCCTGGCGCCAGAGCGACAATCAGCCGTCTAAGGGCGCGTCGCTTCCTGCAGCCCACTGGCGCCCAGCTCGACGCGCGCATCTTCATGGCGCAGGGGAAGAACGGCGCGGGCACGATAGCGGAGGCGGAGCTGGGCCCAGACTTGCCCCGCTTCTTGCAGAGAGACCCGCGCTGGCAGAACTTGGCCAATGAGCGCCTGGACACGGGAGCAACCGTCTCCAAAAGCGTCCGAGGCGACGAGGCGGCAAAGGGCTTGAAAACAGAGGTCGCAGGCATCGTGGACGACGGAAGCCCCCCGAAGTGCCGCATCCTCAAGGGCGGGAATTTGCAGATCACCCCCTCGCCCCACATGGCCGCCTTCGTGCGAGCGCTGCGGAAGAAGATGCGCCCGTGGCTGCAACAGCTGGGAGACAAAATGCGCGAGGCTGTCAAAGCCGACGGCATGCCACCTGCCATCGTCGAGCAGAACGGAACGCCCATCATGACAGAGCACTTCGCCGACAGCGCGTTCGCGTACGCATCGATCCAGCTCATGCAACCAGGCGCACGGGACGATGGTTGGCACGCAGATGGCGGATGCTCCCTGTTGCACGCGGCCGCGACGCTTTTCGGGACGCGCTCCGCGCAAGTGAGGGCCCCAGGGGGAGCACATGATGGGGCGTCACCCTCGAGCACAGCCTCCTGCGGAAGGGTCGTCACCCTCGAGCAAAAGCCTGGGTCCTTCTACATGGGCACCCTGTCCTCCCTCGAGCACAACGTGCACCACCACGCCTCCGCGGACTGCCAGGACTGTTTCGCGACCCACCACGAGCTGCAACAGCGCGTAGACGACAGCAGGCTGCGGATCGCCGTCATGATCCGCTCCGACGTCTTTCGGGAGTTCAGGGCGCGCAGGATCGACGCCACGCCTGGCCCGAAGGAGCTCTTCAACGCGTGAACCACGTCGTGGCCGATCACCTGGCACGGGTCCCCGTGGCGCTGCCCGACCTCACGGAGGTGCTTGACGAAATGCGGTGGCCCGCTTCCACGGAGGTTGTCGTGTTTTCCGATTCCGATTAGGCTGCAAAAGTATCCGAATCCGATTAGACTGCCACAGTACTCAGCATCATCATCAGCATCATCATCTTCATCGCCATCATCATCGCAATCATCGACTTCATCATCATCGTCATCATCATCAGCAGCAGCATGTTCACGCCGCCATCATCGTCATGCGGGTCATGATTTAATCAGCATCGTCACTACATGATGATGACGATGACGAGGGGATATGATGGATATTATGATGATGACGATGATGAGGAGATGGTGATGATGATGGCGATGACGCGGGCGATGATGAATATCATGACGACGATGCTGACGATGATGATGACGATGATGCAAAAACCGGGTGAGTCAGTTGAGCTCCAAAACCCCGCCCTAAAGACAGCCAGCATTGCCCATTCCCATCCACCGAGAAGACGCAACATCGCATCACATGCACTCTGGACTGCGCCGGCACGACCGCGGACGCTCGCTTTAGGATGACCTCCGCAGAGAAACGTGGGCGCGCGCCGACGCCGCACGAATCTACCGCAGGGGTCGGCGAAGCGATGCTCTGTGGGGGTTGGGCTCGGCTGTCGCCACCTCACGAGCCTCCTCCTCCTCCCCCTCCTTATCCTCCTCCTCCCCCTCCCCCTCCTCCTCCTCCTCCGCCTCCTCCTCCCCCTCCCCCTCCTCCTCCTCAGCCCCAAGACAGCCCAAGAGAGACCCAAGAGGGCCCAAGACGGCTCAAAAGGGTCGGCCTGTGGGGCTCACGGAACCTCCCAAGACGGCCCAAGAGGCCCCAAAGCCGGCCTTGGAGGCCTTGCAAAACGGCCTCCAAGAGGCCCGAGAGGGCCTCGTTCGAAATCATGTGCCCGGAAGCCCCTCTGGGAACATGATTCCCGGGTTCCCAGGACGCCCAAAGACAGCCCCCAGAGGCCCTGGACACGCCGAAGATGGCTTCAGGACGGCCGACGACGCCGCCAAAACGCCCCAAGAGCGCCTCCACTCCAGAGGCCCCTCCAAAGGCCCCCAGAAGCTGAAAATCATGTATTTTCCATTGGTTTTTGAAGCATTCTTGCGCTCTCCCATGTTCCGCCTCCCCACGGTCCCGGACCGCGTCAGAGGCCCTTCAGATCGCTCCAAGACGGCCGAAGAGGCTCCCAAGAAAACCCAGAGACGGCCCAGGAGGCTCCCAGATAAGTCAAGAGGGCCTCGAGAGCGCCCCAAGAGAGCCCCAAGAGCGACCCAAGAGGGCCCGAAGAGCGCGACATTTCGAGGTCTCCAGCCTGAGAGGCTCCTAGGACGCCCCTGGAGGCCATCAAGAGGCTCCCAGGAAGCCCCGTGAGGCTCCCAAGAGGCCCTCCGGAAGCCCCAATAGGCCCCCAAGAGGCCCCCGGGGAGCCCCCTGCGGGCCCCCAAGACACTTCGGAAATCGTATTTCCCAGATAGCTTTCCGGGAACATGATTCCTTGGGCTTCCGCCCACCGCCCCAACCATGTTTCCAATAGGCTTGCCGACAAGGCCAAAAGGCGCCCCTCGGTAAGCCCCCAGAGGCCCCCCTCTTAGAGAGCCGAACACATCATGCTCCTGGAAAGCTTCTCGGGAACATGATTCTCTATCTCGGAGTAGGCCCCCCGGGGGGGGGGGCGGGCTGCTGCTTGTTCCCCTCATCGGTGCCCACCGGGGGGTGCGGGGGGGGGGGTCCAGAGCTCCCGAGGCGGCCCGAACGAGGCCACGAACCGTGTGAGGGGTGTGCCAAAATGGGGCGGGGTCGTCATACGAACCCTACCACTGGCGCCCTCGGTGGGGCTCCCCTATGGGGCCACGATACCCGTGAGAGGTGCGCCAAAATGGAGTGGGGCCGCCATACGAATCCTGCAACTTCCACCCTCGGTGGAGCTCCCCACGGGCCACGATCCTCGTGAGCGCTTGGGCTCAAGCTTCCACGGGTGGACGCAGGTCTGGAAGCAGGCGCGAGCGCCCTCTTGCCTCTGCAAGCCAGCCCCCCGCGCCGACACGATGGGGTGCTGCATGGCCTCCCGCCAGTCTTTCGACATGGCCTCCCGCCAGTCTTTCGACCTGACGCGGTACACAGACGCCACGAGCCTCTTCGACGCTCTTGCGTTCACCGTGGAGGGCCTTCACCCAGTGCGCTTGGTCCGCATGTCGTGGCTTCTGCAGCAGCGCGGCACGGTCCTGAAGAGGCGCCAGGAGCTGCCAGAGGAGGCGTTCGTGTCCGCCGGCGAGCTGCGGGCCATTTGGGAAGCCAGCGGGCGAGGAGGAGTGGACAAGGTGGCGCCGATCATCACCATCTCGTTCTGCTGGGACTCACCCGAGCATCCCGACCCCAATGGGGTGCAGCTGAGCTTGGTGATAGACACCCTGGAGCAGGAGCGCCACAAGTACTCCAGAGGAAAGGATAACTTTGAGGGGTTCAGCGACATGGGCGTCTTCTGGGACTGGCCCTCGCTGCTGCAGGGCGACCCCGACAAGGCCGATGAGGCGAAGGCCGCTGCCCTGCGGCAAGGAAAAACCCAGAAGGACGCGCAGAAGGCCGCGGACGAGGCCAAGCGTACCCCCGCCGAGAAGGCCGCGTTCAAACATGGGCTGCAGGAGACGATGGACCTGTGGTACGCCCACCAAACCACTAATTACCGTCCTCCTGCTCACCCAGCACCCCCGCGAGCGAGGCAGCGAGCGCGAGTGTGGCTACGACCAGTCGGGCTGGACAACGTACGAGCGTTGCTCCGCGGAGCAGATCAAGAAGGTCTACCGTTATGAGGCGGAGTGGGACGCCGTTGCCGACCTTGGGGGAGGGGCGGGGGTGACGAAGGCCGGGAGGAGGTGGCCGGTGGGCCCGGACGAGTTCGACCGGCTCATCAAGGACAGGTCCTTCACCAACGGCGCGGACCGGGAGGCGGTGAAGGCGCTCTTCCGGCGGATGAGCCGCGCGCAGCTGGGCGGCGTGAGGAGTCTGGACTTCGACGGGATGCCGCCCCCGACCCCCGCGCAGGTCGCGGGGCTCGCAGGCTGCCTGCGGCTGCGCGCCCGCCTGGAGAACCTGGAGCTGAACAATTGCAACATCGGCCCCCCGGGCGCGCAGGCCCTGGCGAAGGCGCTGCCCTCCATGCCCGACCTGCAATGGCTGAGCCTGGCCGGCAACGGCATCGGCGACGACGGCGCGCAGGCCCTGGCGAAGGCGCTGCCCTCCATGCGCGGCCTGCGGGTGCTGGGCCTGGCCAGCAACGGCATCGGCGACGACGGCGCGCAGGCCCTGAAATCCGCCTTGGGCGACAGATGCCATGGCTTGCACCTCTGAGCCAGGGGCGAGCCGCACAGGGCGCGGGTGAGAAACGGGAGGGCGCGCGGGAAGGGGAGGACCCAAACGCGACAAGGAGGACCCAAACACGACCAGGAAGCACCCAGACACGACAAGATCGAGACAAATTCACGACAAGTAGCAGAAGCGAAAATGGGAGGCGATCCGCTTTCGACTTCCACTTTCGCCTACCGCTTTCGCTTTCGCCTCCCGCTTTCGCTTTCGTCCCCCACTTTCGCCTTCCTTCGCCTCCGCCCCGAAGCGGGCCACGACAGGCTAAGGGGGTCCCGAGAGGGCCCAAGACGGTCCCACGAGGCCCCGAAGACGCCCGAGATGCCTTCAAGACAGCCGACGAGGACTCCAACACGCTCCAGTACGAACTCAAGAGGCTCCCCAAGAGGGCCCTGGAAGGCAAGATTCGCTCGTTTTCCGAGTGTTTGGGATTTTGGTGTTCTCGCTTTTCCCGCTTTCCAGCGCTCCCTCACGGCCTCGGAGGCCCTTCAGATCGCTCCAAGAAGGCCCACGAGGCCCTGACGAGGGCCCCAAGACGGCCCAGGAGGCTTCCCCCAGACAACCCAACTGTGCCCCAAGAGCGCGCCAAGAGAAGGCCCAGAGGGGTCCCGAGGCGGCCCGGGCCCGCCCCGAAGCAGGCCACGACAGGCTAATGGAGGTCCCGAGAGGGCCCTAGACAGTCCCAAGAGGCCCCGAAGACGCCCAAGATGCCCTCAAGACGGCCGACGAGGACTCCAACACGCTCCAGGACGCTCCCCAAGAGGGCCCTGGGAGGCAAGATTCACTAATTTTCGGATGGTCTTTGAAGGTTTAGGCGTTCTCGCTTCCCCCGCTTCCCAGCGCTCCCTCACGGCCTCGCTCGGAGGCCCTTCAGATCGCTCCAAAGCGGGCCACGAGGCCCGGAACAGGGCTCCAAGACGGCCCAGGAGGCTCCCCAAACAACCCAATTGTGCCCCAAGAGCTCCCCAAGAGAGGACCCACAGGAGGACCGCCAATCGATATTTCGATGTCTCTGGCCCTAGAGGCCGCCTGTAGGCCCCTGGAGGCCACCAAGAGGCTCCCACGAAGCCCCGTGAGGCGCCCAAGATGCCCCCAGGAAGCCCCAAGAGACCCGAAGGGGCTCCCAGGGAACGCCCAAGAGGCCCCCCAACACACCCCAAGAAATCATGTCCCCAGAAAACCTTCCGGGGACATGGTCCATCATGGGCCCGAGAGTTCCCGGAGGCTCTTAAGGGGCCCCCAGGGAACGCCCAAGATACCCCCCAAAACACCCTAACAAACCATGTCCCCAGAAAGCCTTCCAGGGACATGGTTCATCATGGGCCCGCGAGTCTCCAGAGGCTTCGAAGTACCATCATGTTACAGGAGAGCTGTCTGGGAAGTTGATTGGGAACATGACATCTGGAGCGCCAGATGTCTGGGTCTTGCAGTGGGTCCCCAGGAGGCCCCAAGACGCCATGCTGGCCTGGAAGCTAAAGTGGGCCCTTAACTGTGACCGATTCGATGTTGAAGTTAGTATTGGTTTGTTAGGATGTCTGCTATGGGAAACAGAGAACTTCTCATGCGCGCGAGTTGGTGGTTTTGTATTGCACATCATCGAAAAGTTTCCATGCCGGTTTGGGAACTGAAGCGAACCCTTAACGGTGACCCATGTGATTTTGAAGTGAACATGGGTTTGGGTGGATGACGACTGTTATGGACAACGCAGAACTACCCCCGCTCGATCGCGTTTGCAGTTCTGTATTGTCCACAATAGAGTTGCCATGCTGGCGTGGAGACTAAAGTGACCCCTGAACTGTGACCAATTGGATGTTGAAGTTAACATGGGTTTGGGGTGTACGATGGCTGTGATGAACAAAACAGAACTCCTCACGCGCGCGGTGGGAGTTCTGCATTGCGCACCGTCGAAAAGTCTCCAGTAATTTCGTGTACGTGTTTCGTTGTCTCGCGCTCAGTGTGTTTTCGCGTTCGCGCCAAGTCTTTTTTGTTGTTGCCGCTGTTGCCCAAGTTCGAGCCAGAGCACCGCCGCAGCTCCCTAGCCCCTAGCCCCTGGCCCTCGCCGCAGCCCGAGGTCTCTGGCCTACCCCAGCCACGGCTCTGGATCATTCGTTTCTCGGGGGCGGAAAAGAGGGGGGTGATGACTAGGAGGGGGTGGATATCATGGCGGGGGCCATGATATTTCCCCAGATCTCATGGCGCCTCTTCTTGTTTCATTATGTCCCTGGCCCCCCGGCTGGGCCGCGCACATGCCGCCGGTCATGATTTGCACACCCCCTTCTTGGACACCCCCCTCTTGGCCGCTCCCGAGTTTCGTTGTTCGTTTCGTTGTTCGTTGTGCTCACCGTTTTCCGTTGCCGGAGCCCCCGCCAGCGTTTTGAGTTTCAGCTCTGCTCGTCTGGATTTGATACTGTTTTTACACCTGTTTCAATGTTTTCGGCGGCCGCCGCGGCCCGTGGCTGGAGACGCTTCTGCGCGCTATGTTTGTTTTCGTTCGCTGCCGCTGGTTCTGTTTTCCGCCCGAGCCCGTAAGGGTGCGCGCGCGGGCCATGGGATTCATTTTTGATTTGTTGGATGGCCCTCGTAAGATTGCGGCCGTGAGGTACTGGTTGACCAGCAGACGCATGATGTCGGATTGAACGAACTGATTTCAACATTGGCCCGAATATATGATTCCTCGTCTATGCCGTTGGCCCGAGTGTCGTGTTTTTGTCGTTGGGCCCGCCCGACTTCCCAGTCTACCCAGTCTCCGAGCATTTTGTTTATTTTGATTGCAGCGTTCATTGATTTCGGCCTCCTGATATTGAAAATGTTTTAACGCAGTGATGGTGATGATGCTGATTATCATTATTATTACGTCGTATTTTTGTTGTTTGTTGTGTAAATCAATATGTTTGTGTCTTCCTTTGTATTAAAAAGTGTGTATGTTGCGTCGTGTTGCTTGCAAATTGTTGTTTTAACATCAGTTTTCTTAACATATTAGTTGCGCAGTACCTAATTTCCGAATTATAAGAAGCAGTTGTTTTTTCCCAACCCTCCTGCGTTGGGTACTCGTTTTGAATAGAGCACTGCGGTCTCCACCTTCCTTCCTTCCTTCCTTCCTTCCTTCCCGCCCCCTCCCGCCTTCTCTCTTCCCTCCTCCTCTCTCCTCTCTTGCATCCCTTCTCCTCCTCTCTTCGCTCGTCCTCTTCTCGCTTGCCTTTTACCTAGCTTGCCCCTCGCCATCCCTGGGGGGCGGCGATCTGCGAGACTGTCGTCACTTTCGAGGGCTGCTGGGGTGGCCAGCGGAGTGACGCCCCACGGGGACTCAGATTAGACCTCGCCATCCCTGGGGGGCTGCGATCTGCGAAACTGTCGCCACTTTCGAGGGCTGCTGGGGTGGCCAGCGGAGTGACGCCCTACGGGGACTCAGATTAGACCTCGCCATCCCTGGGGGGCTGCGATCTGTGAAACTGTCGCCACTTTCGAGGGCTGCTGGGGTGGCCAGCGGAGTGACGCCCTACGGGGACTCAGATTAGACCTCGCCGCCATCCCTGGGGGGCTGCGATCTGTGAAACTGTCGCCACTTTCGAGGGCTGCTGGGGTGGCCAGCGGAGTGACGCCCTACGGGGACTCAGATTAGACCTCGCCATCCCTGGGGGGCTGCGATCTGTGAAACTGTCGCCACTTTCGAAGGCTGCTGGGTGGCCAGCGGAGTGACGCCCCACGGGGACTTAGATTAGACCTCGCCATCTCTGGGGGGCTGCGATCTGCGAAACTGTCGCCACTTTCGAGGGCTGCTGGGGTGGCCAGCGGAGTGACGCCCTACGGGGACTCAGATTAGACCTCGCCATCCCTGGGGGGATGCGATCTGCGAAACTATCGCCACTTTCCAGGCCTGCTGGAGTGGCCAGCGGAGTGACGCCCTACAGGGACTCAGATTAGACCTCGCCATCCCTGGGGGCTGCGATCTGTGAAACTGTCGCCACTTTCGAGGGCTGCTGGGGGCCCAGCGGAGTGACGCCCTACGGGGACTCAGATTAGACCTCGCCATCCCTGGGGGGCTGCGATCTGTGAAACTGTCGCCACTTTCGAGGGCTGCTGGGGGGCCCAGCGGAGTGACGCCCTACGGGGATTCAGATTAGACCTCGCCATCCCTGGGGGGCTGCGATCTGTGAAACTGTCGCCACTTTCGAGGGCTGCTGGGGGGCCCAGCGGAGTGACGCCCTACGGGGATTCAGATTAGACCTCGCCATCCCTGGGGGGCTGCGATCTGTGAAACTGTCGCCACTTTCGAGGCTGCTGGGGGGCCCAGCGGAGTGACGCCCTACGGGGATACAGATTAGACCTCGCCATCCCTGGGGGGCTGCGATCTGTGAAACTGTCGCCACTTTCGAAGGCTGCGTGGGGGGCCCAGCGGAGTGACGCCCTACGGGGATACATATTAGACCTCGCCATCCCTGGGGGGCTGCGATCTGTGAAACTGTCGCCACTTTCGAGGGCTGCTTTGGGGGCCAGCGGAGTGACGTCCTACGGGGACTCAGATTAGACCTCGCCAGCGCTGGGGGGCTACGATCTGTGAAACTGTCGCCACTTTCGAGGGCTGCTGTGGGGCCCACGAAACTGTCGAAACGGACGCAGATTGGACCCGTCATTCTACTTCGATTATCCCGCATCTGCGATCGACTGTATGTGCGCGAGGAACTAGACATGGAGTGGTCTGGCACTGACTGACGTCAAATCGTTGTGTGCCAGTGTCTCCTGGGGTGTTGCCTGATGTGGATGCAGCTCGTCGGCGCTGCGACTCGAGCTGGCGGTCGTCCTTCGGACCCGCAGAAACATCTGCTGAGCTCGATGAGCTAGGGGAACTACAGGAAAGAAGTGCAGGAAACGGAGGCCGGTCATGCACTCGCCGATACCTCGTTGCTCTGTCATCGTCTTTGCTGTTGCATGATCCTTATCTGGCCTGCCGGCGCCGCGGCTCGAGCTGGCGGTCGCCCTTCGGGCCCGCGGGAACATCTTCTGAGACAAGTGGACGCCGCCGCCTTACTTGCAGGCAGCGCATTGCATTCGCGGACAGCAGCATGGCAGACCGC